GTGACGTTTACTATGCATGTCCCATTAATATACATAATACAGATCTTGTATGAGTATACATTTTTCAGTAGGTAAATACCTGTTTTTCTTATGTTTTCTCGTTCATAGCCGTCTATCTAAACTGTGCAAGCAACACGCGCTTTACCAGTGTACAAGCGTATCCTCTTCTTGATCAGCAAAGATGAACAATTTTGTGGTGCGATGGAGATTGAAATGTAGGCACATGTAGGCACCTTTGTGTGTCGTAAACGATAAGATGCGTGACGAAGCTTGCCTGGTAAAATTACGATTTTCGTTTTTTTGTTTGTTGTTTTACTCCGCGATATTCCAGCTAAATGTCGGCGGTCTGTAAATAATGACAACTGGACCAGACAATCGAGCGATCAACAGAGTGAGGATTGATCTACGCAATTGGGATGGATACGAGTGAGTAAAGGGATTGATACGAAGACATGTGGGTGACCCGTTAGTCGCCACTTACAGCATGGTATTCCACGTGGGGACGTCAGACGTCTGACTTGGTCCGTGCACGTACATACAGTGACATCTCAGTACACCTATCACACCTCCCCAGCTGTAACTCACACCTCCCCAGCTGTACCTCACATCTCCCCAGCCGAAGTTTTCGACAACATTTAAGAATGACATGTTCAAACCTTGCTATCACTCCACCACACTTCCAACTTCAAGTCCACATTCCGTCGCTGCTGCCGTTGCGACAAGTAAATATCACACCACATATCAAACTGTTATCTGAGTAATATGAGACCAGAGCATGACCTCGAGAATACCGTGAGGGCGTCACCCGTGGTCTGGGTTAGACTATTGATCTTCAGTAACCTATGCTTGTCGTAAGAGGCGACTAACGGGATCGGGTGGTCAGGCTCGCTGGCTTGGTTGACACATGTCATCGGTTCCCAATTGCGCTGAACGATGCTCATGCTGTTGATCACTGGGTTGTCTGGTCCAGACTCGATTATTTACAGACCGCCGCTATATGGCTGGAATATTGCTGAGTGCGGCGTCAAACTAACCTCTCTCACTCAAACTCACTGAGCGGGCGCGTTGACTGAGTGTATGGGGAGATTCAGTATATTTATAATTGAGTCGTGGACAAATTTACCTAATTTATCAGAAATTACTCTTTCCTATATAGCATGTACAATCAAAGATGTGAATATTTATTCGGAACAAGCATTGACTGCATCCCAGTTTTGTTGTAAACTGTCAGATATCTTCACGCCTTTTAAACTTTTTTTATTGAAATTTTAATTGACATTCTGTCAATGTCCTGGAGTGTTTGTTTGTTGTTTAACTACACATTAATTCCAGTTTTAGGACACATAAATTAACACAAGTCATGTTGTCCTTGGCAACAGCCCAAGTGTTATCAAAGAAAATGAGATTACATGCCTCAATCTGTTGGATCATGTACATTTTATGTCAAGACACCCATCTCTTCGTCGCGTAGGCCACCCGTCGCGCTTCTGAAGAGACCCGTGAAGATCCGGGTTAGAAAATTGTTATTCAGCAAACCATGCTTGTCGTAGGACTCCACTAACGGGATCCGGTGGTTAAGTTCGCTGACTGGGTTGACACATGTCATCGTATCTCAATTACGTAGATCGATGCTCATGCTGTTGATCACCGATTGTCTGTTCCAGACCCGATTAATTACAGACTGCCGCCATATAGCTGGAATATGCCCGAGTGTGGCATAAAACTGAACTCACTCACTGTTACTGAGGATCATTCTTTCCTTTTTTCTCTTTATATTTGAACAATTGTACACGACGACTGGGAATTCATACATACAATATATACTACTCAAAACAAGTTAAGGGTCATGCGATGTCATCATGTAATGCTATTGATGAGGCTGGTTGCATTATGTACAAATAAAACTTTACATTCCGTGTATGGCAGTTCATCCAAAACCATTGCAGAACCTGGATAAAGGCTGCAGATAACTGTGGTGCCAAAAGTCATCGTGGTAGGGTGTTAAAAAATGAACAAATTGAAACATCGAGTGCTTCACAGAAGCGCCACCACTGTGTGTGTGAAAGATGATGTTTCATCATGAACAACATGTGCACGTGTTCTTCGTGGGATTAGTCATGTGCATGCTGATTTCCCCTATAAAACTTGTAATTGTTGCATTGTTATTGCCACTTGAAATTCAACAATGGCAAGACGTCCACTGAGCATGACAGACAGAGGAAGAGCTCATGCGTGGCTTCAAGATGGCGAAACTCAACACAGTGTGGCTCAGAGACTAAATGTGAGTCAGAGTGTCATTGGAAGGTTATGACACCGGTTTCGTGTCACTGGAACGCTGACTAATTGACCACGATCTGGCAGGCCTCCATCAACAACTCCTAGAGAAGACCGATACCTGACAAATATGGCTCTCCCACAACGCAGAGTAGCTGCCAGACAATTTCGTGACCAACTGAGAACTGCCACAACTGCCACAACTTGCAAGTTCCCTGGTATTTGATCAGACTGTCAGGAACCGACTGACGAGGAACAATCTTCGGGCACGGTGACCAGCAGTACGACCACCGCTTCTTCAGCGACACACGACGGCAAGACATGACTGGTTTAGACGTCATGTTCGTTGGCAACGTGCTCAGTGGGCATCAGTTCTTTTCTCCGCCGAGTCTAGGTTTACTCTACAGTTCAATAATGGTAGAACTCGTGTGTATCAGCGTCCAGGAGGGAGGTTTGCTGACGTTAACGTCAACCAACGTTTGACATTTGGAGGTGGGGTTGTCATGGTTTGGGCTGAGGTTTCCTTTCATCAAAGGACACCTCTCTATGTCATTAATCGTACCCTGACCGGAAATCGCTATCTACGGGAGATTATAAGACCCCTTGTTTTGCCATGTTTACAACGTACCGGCGTCGGATCCATATTCCAAGGTGGCAATGCCCGACCACACCGTGCCCGTGTTGTGGCGGACTTTCGTAGACAGAACAATTTTCAGCACATGGAATGCCCGGCATATTCAACAGATTTAGCCCCTATGGAACATGCTTGGGACGAGTAAGGACGTCGGCTTCGTAACAACCACGCCCCTCCAAACAACCGTGCAGAACTGGCCCAGTATCTCATTGCAGAATGGCAGACAATACCCCAAGCCTTCTTCCAACGTCTGGTGAACAGTATGAGACAGAGGTGTACTGCTTGTCTTACTGCTCGAGGTGGTTACATCCGTTATTAGTCCAATGTTGGCTTTTGAATTTTCACTTCTGACAGTAGGTCACTTTGACCTTATTGATCAGCAATCACTGACATTCCTGCTGTTTTTGTCTCCCGTTATGGTTATCATGAAATGTTGGCTACATTTTACTGTTATTTATATTTGTAGCTATGGCCATTAAACGTTTTGACCCTTAACTTGTTTTGAGTAGTATACAATGGTTGGTCCAAATGATATGCATGAATATTTACTGAATTAACGAAGCGATCGGCAAAACTAGTTTCTGATCTTTTTTGTAATTATCACAGTACTTTCTAAGCAGCGTACGGCATTTCTTATTCCAGGAGAATTGAAACATAGGAATCCTTACGGTTTGGATTAAAAATCCACGAAACTGCTAAACAATATGCCTCAAAATCTACATAAGTGATAATTTACCCAAAGTCATGATAAATGAGTTGTGTGCCCAGCACAGGGCCTAGGTTCAGACAGGGAGGACGGGCTAAGCGTGTGTAGCACATCCTCCCTATCTGAACCTGTGCTCAGCTCGTGCAGCCCATCCTCCCTATCTGAACCTGGGGCCCAGTGTCTGTAGCACATCCTCCCTATCTGAACCTGGGCCCGGCTCGTGTAGCCCATCCTCCCTATCTGAACTTGGTATGGGTCACAGCCAAGTTTAGTCGACGAAATTTACCACGTAAACCTGTTTCACACTTTTGGTAGCTACATGCATAACATAAAAAACCTGTTTCATTATTCAGAACAGTTTCTTCTTGTACCTGATTCAGTATGCGTAGTTTCTGAAAACCTTCCACCCCTAGCGGCGATTCTACTAGTATTTCCGGTGTACTCTTTATCTCGTAACAGCAAACAGTTTCCCCTCTTGTCAACAGTGTCGTCGAATTTATGATGATATTATAATAACCTTGACCCCATAGTAACCTTTTTAGGGTTTATATTTGGTCTAGGCCGGGAATTATAATACCTAGAATTGGTTGTCGGGGAATTAGCTTGGGACCGCAACCCTTTCAAATAACCAAGAGAAGCATCGGCCATGAGTCATTTCATGAGTCATTTACATTTCATAATAAAACATCAGCAAATTCATAACCTTGCAGAATTAATATATTCTGAGAATCATGAATTAAGAATCGCACAGACGAAAGAAGGTTACGATGACATAAACTTTATTCCTGTCCGTGATAATACGTAAAAGGGTAAGTGTTCCTCCCGTTCACCCATCCCAAATAATATTTATAAATATTCTAGAATTATAAACAAAACTTAACACAACAATTACTAGCGACCTCACAAAATGATTAAAAGTCCAAAATTTAAGTTAGGGCTAGGTTTAGGGTTAGGTTTAGGGTTAGGTTCAGAGTTTGGTTTAGAGTTGGGGGAACGGAAGGAACTCTTTCGAGTAACAGACTGAAACAAACGAAAGGTTCAAGTCAGAACACAATCTGGAAGCATTTTGATAATGCAGAAATGAACAGTGTAACGACAGCATTACAGTGAAGCGCTAGCGTGACCGATATCTTGAAATTGTACATGCGCTTCAAATTGACAAGTTGGACATTAAGGCTATCTGTACTCATTTCTGACAATAATTAACTATTTGTGAAAATATCACCGTTTACACTACACAAGAACACTAGAACTAAATATAAAATACCATTTATAATACTAACTTACTCTGTACAGAGCTCAAACTTAATGTAAACTAATTTGAATCGCCACGCTGCACTGGGCGGGAATGAAAAACCGATGCGGTGCACATTTTGATGCATGAACAAATCTTATGGAAACTGACCAGTAAAAACTGTTATAGAAACAACATCTAGGTAATGTTATAACTCATATGCATCATATACATACACTTTGGTGGCCTATTTTCACTGTTAGTGGGATGGAATCCCAGTCCTGTTGCAAGTTTGCCATTGCGGCCTGTTTCCATGTGCTTTTAACTAATGGAGGTAACTGCGACTCGGTTAGTGAATTGCGAAATAAACTATTAACGAAACCCCACAAAAATGATATAACCCTAACTGACAATGCCGAACGGCATGTAATTGAATGGGTAAACGTCTACATAGAGATTAACAATACTGATGACGCAGCAGTATGTGAGCAGCTGAATAAAACAACAAGTGTTATGTGGGCTCAAGAGGTTTCCGTATTCAGTATATTTACCTCACGTAATATGTACATTGTTTAAACATTTTTTGATGAAAGGTAGCATGGAACATTTGAATTAAACACATATAATAATCATTTAGAAATACATTCTCTGGCATACACTTTGATTGCAAACACGCAATAATATATACAACATGTGCACAAGAATTTCTTTGCTTCCACGAGCCCGATTATATGTACTGGTAATTGTGATTTACTGAACTTATATTATGTCTTAATTTTACTATATTTTTCTGTAAACTATGTTGATGTAAATTGAAATGTTAGATTGGTGTTACGTGGTCTCACCTAACTATGATACAGATATTCCCTGTTGTAACTTAATCAATACTGCATAGTTTAATGATAATATTGGTGTAAACAGTATGGAACGCCATAGAAAACAGAGAAAATATGAACATAATTTAAGAATATACAATGAATGAATTGAACATGGCTTACCTTCAAATAACCAAGAAAAGTATCGATTAGTGGCCAGTCTTTATTCGGGGCATTTCATGAGTTCGGGATATGGTCGCACGTTCAATGGTCCCTTCTTTTAACAATACTTACAAATGTTGCTAATCTACACTGCTGACTATCTGAATCGTGAGATTACTTTGAAGCTTTGAAAGACTTGAGAATGCAGAAATGACCAAAATTATCTACCAGGTTTCACGGGAGCGTGTCATCGTAGAGCAATGTTACTTCTCTCCCCGGACATGTCGTCTTAACAATTAGTACATAAAGCTTATCAAGAAAACTTGGGAATAAAGACGAGCGTATATCGATACTGACAGATTATAGACTTGGACCATGCATATAGTCTTAAAGCTTTAACACATAATGCTAATTATCTTACAACTTGGAAAATGAAGATCAACACTAGCTTAGACAGCATTTAGTATTCTCGTTATTGATTAAAGTATACAAAATGTGCTGTATAGTCCTATCTTATAAAGTCACAATTATTTGATAAAAGAAAGTATGACGTATTTTAGAACTATGATAATAACATTAATGTAACGTGCATGGAGGTCGTGGATTTTCGTTTTCAGTAGAACTGCAAGGTATAACGTCACCAATATTACAACAGAAAAACTGGGGCAAGTGTACCATCAGGAAGTGATATGTAAAGTAGGGTCTTGGGTGCGACTGACCACAGTGAAGTGTGATCGACCAAGACGTGATATGTAAAGTAGGGTCTTGGGTGGGTGACCACAGTGAAGTGTGATCAACCAGGAAGTGATGTGTAAGGTAGGGTCTTGGGTGCGACTGACCACAGTGAAGTGTGATCGACCAAGACGTGATATGTAAAGTAGGGTCTTGGGTGGGTGACCACAGTGAAGTGTGATCAACCAGGAAGTGATATGTAAGGTAGGGTCTTGGGTGGGTGACCACAGTGAAGTGTGATCAACCAGGAAGTGATATGTAAGGTAGGGTCTTGGGTAGGACTGACCACAGTGAAGTGTGATCTATCAGGAAGTGAAGTGTAAGGTAGGGTCTTGGGTGGGTGACCACAGTGAAGTGTGATCTACCAGGAAGTGATATGTAAGGTAGGGTCTTGGGTGGGTGACCACAGTGAAGTGTGATCAACCAGGAAGTGATATGTAAGGTAGGGTCTTGGGTGGGTGACCACAGTGAAGTGTGATCAACCAGGAAGTGATGTGTAAAGTGGGGTCTTGGGTGGGACTGACCACAGTGAAGTGTGATCAACATGGAAGTGATATGTAAAGTAGGGTCTTTGGGTAGGACTGACCACAGTGAAGTGTGATCAACCAGGAAGTGATATGTAAAGTAGGGTCTTGGGTGGGACTGACCACAGTGAATTGTGATCAATCAGGAAGTGATATGTTAAGTAGGGTCTTGGGTGGGACTGAACACAGTGAACGGTGATCAACATGGAAGTGATATGTTAAGTAGGGTCTTGGGTGGGACTGAACACAGTGAACGGTGATCAACCAGGAAGTGATATGTAAGGTAGGGTCTTGGGTGGGACTGACCACAGTCAACGGAGATCAACCAGGAAGTGATATGTAAGGTAGGGTTTTGGGTGGGACTGCCCACAGTGAAGTGTGATCAACCAGGAAGTGATATGTAAAGTAGAATGTTGGGTGTTACTGACCACAGTGAAGTGTGGTCAGTCCCACCAATGCCCAACCTTATATATCACTTCCTGGTGATCAACCAGGAAGTGATATGTAAGGTAGGGTCTTGGGTGGGTGACCACAGTGAAGTGTGATCAACCAGGAAGTGATATGTAAGGTAGGGTCTTGGGTAGGACTGACCACAGTGAAGTGTGATCTATCAGGAAGTGAAGTGTAAGGTAGGGTCTTGGGTGGGTGACCACAGTGAAGTGTGATCTACCAGGAAGTGATATGTAAGGTAGGGTCTTGGGTGGGACTTACCACAGTGAAGTGTGATCAACCAGGAAGTGATATGTAAAGTAGGTTCTAGGGTGGGAATGACCACAGTGAACGGTCATCAACCAGGAAGTTATATGTAAGGTTGGGCATTGGTGGGACTGACCACAGTGAAGTGTGATCAACCAGGAAGTGATATGTGAGGTAGGGTCTTGGGTGGGACTGACCACAGTGAGGTGTCCGAATCCATTCGAATCCCATCCGAATGGAGCTACCATTCTACACAGACGTTTCTACAATGCAAACAAACCCAAGTAAAACACTGAGACAAGTTTACACGCTGTTTATTAAAGCATCTTTGTAGCAATATGCATATGAGAAGGGAATGAGGCGTCAGTGATTTATCATCCAAAACTGTGTTCCACAGGAGATATCGCTTGTGTGAGATCAAACGATATCTCCTAGGAGATATCGTTTTGACAGTAGATTTTGTACAATGACCTGACAATGCTATGACGTCATGAACTTGATGACGTCACAATGCCATGACATCACTGCACTGCAAGTGTAATGGCAGTACCATGTTCAGAGATGTACATTTTTCATTGAAAATTAATGAAGAGTGATATTGGATGATAAACAGAATCTCACCCTCGTGTCTTCTGATATCAAATATATCAACACTCGTTAATAAAGTAAAAATATCCTCGGCAAGCCTCGGATATTTGTAACTTTATCAACTCGTGTTGATATAATTGATAACAGAAGACACTTGGGTGAGATTCTCTATATATCACATAAAACACAACTGTAAGAATACAGTTCTCATTGGAAAATACTGTTTTGTACATGGATATCAGTGAACATCACCATGAGATGAGACGAGTATGTATATATTCATCACACAATCACATTCACAAAATTACAATGATGCCGTTCCATACAGTGATGGCGTCAGGAAACAGGTAACTCCCGGCTGTGTACGGATGCCGACCATGTATGGAAAACATCAAGTTTCTCTGTGTGTGGTATTTCGTTTTTTTGTTTTGTTTTGTCATATACTCAGAAACAGCTCACAGCACGAGGTTCCACAAACTGTTCTGGAATCTGTTTGAAACATCCTGCATACATGTACACATCTGTGGAAGGCGTGGGTGGGTGATCCTGCATACATGTACACATCTGTGGAAGGCGTGGGTGGGTGATCCTGCATACATGTACACATCTGTGGAAGGCGTGGGTGGGTGATCCTGCATACAAGTACACATCTCTGGAAGGCGTGGGTGGGTGATCCTGCATACAAGTACACATCTCTGGAAGGCACAATTAGATGTTAGTGTTTCTGATGTCTACGTTTTTCACTGTGTATGTTAACAAAATCCAGAAAGCAGCAAAAGACACTAAACCGACTTCTCCTTATGGATATTCTTTATACACATAGCTCCTGCATAGAGATCTAAACTAATCCTACATACCATCCATCAATAACTCTTATTCTTCAACAACATAAAGACAGTAACAACATGTTCGTCAAACATAGAACGGTCAATTGTAAGCCACTTGAAGAATCGTGATCACATACTAGACGCGTTAGGTGTATAGTAGTATACGAACCTGCATACACATATTGCTCAATGGACGGCACACATGATGTTTGTTGTGGTTTTCAAACACGTTTATCACTGGTATGGAAAAGAAATTCAAAAAGCACCAAAATGCCCACCAGGACTAAGACTGTAATTGACCTGATCATGGGCATTGTTGTGTCTTCGCAGAAAGGCGACATTTTTGGACGTGTAAAAACAAGGGCCTAGGTGCGAAAAGGGTGGAAATTTGCAACCATGGGTTCAGGTGTTTATACAAGAACCCTTATCCCAGACGAAGCCGACAGCCACAAGACGTTCATTTTATTCATACTAATCTATTTGCTTTTCTCTTACTGATTCTGTACATTTAACTTGCAACTACCAAATACCTTCCACCTCGAGCTGTAGGTAGATACTTGTACTGTAACTGTGTGTTCGCCATGTCTCGTATCGCCACTGTTGACATTGTTCTTTTATGCGATGGATACGAACTCACAAATTCTTATGGTTACCACTCAACCGTAAATAACACTTCACCAAATTAGTGACACCATGAACTGACCCATGAACTGTGTTCACGTAGAAATTAGAACAAATTTTAGCCGCCACCCTTACGCTAATCAGCCATTAATCTCCCGGTAAGCCCTTACATAAACACTACTGCAACAACACTAAACATCAAAGGTGCCTTCGTGCGAAAAGCTAAAACTAAAAAAGTCGCCTTCCTGCGAATACACCTGCATCGTATACACAAATAACATATCCTGCCTACAAAACACACATCTACATAACATTTGTGTTATTCCTTAATACCTTTCATCAATGATTCTTACTTTTCAACAACACAGACGGTAACAACATGTTATTCAGTTTTGTCCAGGAAGTGAGCTATATTTGCTGGTGATTCTAACAAACTGTTAACTTTGTTATTGCTGTCTTTCCCAAAGCACATCTTTAATGGAACACATTTGAGAGAATTGACGGAAAATGCCAGTATATATCGATAACTTCTTCAAGACAAAATTAAAAATGTACAATATGTCGTGACATTCGTAGCAAGAGTGTCTAAATAGTAACAATAGAGTGACAATAACCTTTTTTCAGCATTGCACTAAGCAAACACTGACAATCGGATTCAGACCTCGGGGACAAAAGAGTTCTCTGATCATAAGTGAGTTCAGGCATGGGAAGATCTCGGCTGAATTGATCCTCTGAATATTGAAAGAATAAAGACCCGGATGTGGGATGTCGGACGCGATGTCGGCTAGGACAATAACTTTCAGCCATTGATCTCAGAAGCACCCGTACATGTTAATAATCAGATCTATCAATTTCATTAGGCGGGCGTTGGGAATATAATTTCATTACTAATAGAACACTATCCAAGGTGAAACTTTTTGAGCTTCTGATCTTCTATAGAAAGCAACATTCAGGACAAACAGCGCCATACTGCATTTGGTGTCACCTTCTTTTCCTATCACAGCTATCTTGTCTCTTGGCACACAGATTTAGTCATTTGCAGTAATTATGTGACATGGATATCATAGGATCTCCTCCATAATAGTCATCTCTCAAGTGATTATATTTTATAGTACTGTCACTCGGAACAGTTTTATATTAAAAAATATCTCTCTGAAAATAACACATTCCCTTTATCTGATAAAGACGTAAGTTTGGATCCTTAACAAAATGTGTAATTCTTACAGACGAAAGTATTGAAGTCTAAAGAAGTATGCTAAACTACTTCACAATTGGGAAACATACAGCATATATATTTTTAACTCCTGTATGAAAATATACCAATACATACAAACCAGGAAAGTAAAATCAACATTAAACCATGGCAATTACAACAGTTCTCTTCTGTCCATTGTGATACAACTATTCAATATCCACTATATTTCCTATATTCAGTTAATACTATTTATGTACACACATTATACACAAAACACTCATTGCTGCCTCTTCAAAGTGGTTTGATGATATCTTCTCTGGCATTTGATGAGTCAGAAACAGATCCGGTCTTATTCAGCTGTAAACCTTCAAGCTAAGTTATTGCCTCCTTTATCAATGATTTCTTCAGCTGTAAACCTTCAAGCTACGTACTTGTCTCCTTTATCAATGATTTCTTCAGCTGTAGACCTTCAAGCTACGTGTTTGTCTCCTTTATCAATGATTTCTTCAGCTGTAGACCTTCAAGCTACGCATTTGTCTCTTTTATCAATGATTTCTTCAGCTGTAGACCTTCAAGCTACGTATTTGTCTCCTTTATCAATGTTTTCTTCAGCTATACACCTTCAAGCTACGTATGTGTCTCCTCTAGCACTGACGTCCTTAAATGTAGACCTTCAAGTCAAAACACTTCTCCCTTCAGAGGTGACTTTCTTCACTGTTGCCCTTCAAGCAAAATACTTGCCTCCTGTACTAGAGGCTCCTTCAACTGTAGTCCTTCAAGGTAAGTTCTTGTCCCGTTTATCAAAGACGTCTGTAACTGTAGACCTTCGAGTCAGGCACAAGCCCCTATACCGACTTTATCGGTATAATCAATGGTGTCATTTTCTTGATTTATTTTACCATTTTGGTATCTCTAGCTCCCGAATTTAAACTCTGTCTGGCTTGTACATATTCAGATGGTACACGTCAGATCTAACTATTGATCTCATTATGTCATTCATTGGCTTGACATTCCTCTCTGACTCTCCACCTGATGTAAGTGTTTCTATGATTTGTCTGCAGTCCACTTTAAGGGCAATGTTCAAGGCGTCATCACCTGTACTGTCAACCAGTGTCAGATCAGCACCTCTACTTCTCAGGTAGTCAAACACTGCAACTTTACCATGTAACACTGATGTCATGATGCATGTTAAGCCGCCTTTGTCTTGAGTGTCTATATTGAACTTGTCTGATATATGCTTCACAATGTCAAGGTGGCCATACCTACAAGCAAGATGTAGAAGAGTGAGTCCATCCTTGTCCACCAGAGTGTGGTCAGCACCCCGGGACATCAGGAACTTCATCACACTCATATGACCTCCAGCAACAGCCCTCATCAGAGGAGTGGAACCATTCCTACCCAGTGTGTTGATGCCAAAGCTGTCAATAACCTTCCTAACAATGGCTTTGTTCCCACCTTGACAAGCTGCATGAAGACCATTATCATTCTGTGGAGTAGTCAAAGATGGGATACCCCCATTTGTTGCAATCAGATCATAAGCATCCATCTTTCCACTGAGTGCTGTCATCATTATTGGCGTCCATCCATCTTCTCCCGGACTGTTGATGTCAAACTGTGGCAGGAGATACTTTATGATGGACGTGTTTCCTCCCTGACAAGCAAGATGCAGTAAATTGTTCCTGGAGAGATCCAGCAGCTCCATCTCAACACTTTGTGACACAAGGAGGCTGAACACATTCCTCTGTCCTGCCCAAGCTGCATGCATAACTGGTGTGCAGCCATTCCGTCCTTTAGCATTTATGTCCAACATCTTCAGAAGATTCCTTACAATAGCTGTGTCTCCGCCAAGACATGCATAATGTAGAACGTTATCATTGTAGTCGTCGGTAAGATTCAGCTCAGCTTCTTTTTGACACAAGCAGATTGAAAACATTAGTTTTGCCTGCCAAAGCTGCCTCCATTATAGCTGTTCTGTTGTTGAATCCCCGGTGATTGATATCACTCCGCTGTAGGAGGTATTCTACAATTGAAGTGTTCCCACCACGACAAGCTAAGTGAAATATGGGCGCGTAGTAATCATCCTTCAGTGACATGTCAGCTCCCTGAAAGACAAGGTCAAACACACTCTTCACTCCATTCAGGGCTGCGTACATCACAGCCGTCCTGCCATCTTGTCCACGAGCATTGATGTGAAACAGTGGAAGCAGATGCCTAATGATGGACCTGTTTCTTCCCTGACAGGCGAGATGCAGCATGTTGTTACCGTGGTCGTCAGTTAGAGTGAGATCTGCTTGCTGTGACACAAGCACGTTGAACAGATGTCTGTTTCCTAACGAGGATGCTATCATCGCTGGTGTCATACCCTTCTTTCCCCTGGTATTGACGTCAAGCATTTGGAGAACACACTGAACGATCGTGGACTCTCCTCCCTTACATGCTGAGTGAAGGACACTGTCTCTGTAGTCATCGATCACTTTCACGTCGGCGTTCTTTGAGACCAGAAAATCGAAAACATTTTTGTTTCTGGAAAAAGCTGCCTTCATGATTGCTGTTCTCCCACTGTCTTCCAAAGTGTTGATGTCTACATTTGGAAGTAGTTGTTCCACTATTGATCTATTTCCACCCAGACAAGCTAAATGAAACACGGAATTGTTGTGGTCATCCTTCAGCGAAGTATCAGCTCCCCCTGAGACAAGCAGATCAAACACACTCTTCACTCTGTTGACAGCTGCGTACATCACAGCCGTCCTGCCATCCTGTCCACGGCTGTTGATGTCAAACTCTGGAAGCAGATGCTCTGTGATCGACATGTCTCCACCTCGACATGCGAGGTGAAGCATATTGTTACCGTGGTCGTCTTTCAGAGTGAGATCCACTTCTTTTGAAACAAGCAAGTTGAAAACGTCTGACTTTCCAAATCGAGCTGCTACCATAACTGGTGACCAGCCATTCGTTCCCCTCGCATTGAGATCAGCTGTTGTCAGGAGATGTTGAAGAATGTCTACATTCCCTCCCGCACATGCAAAATGTAAGACGGTGTTATTGAAGTCGTCAGTCTGTATAAGATGATTTTTTTGTGACACAAGAAAATCGAAAACACGAATGTGCCCTGACTCAGCAGCTTTCATAAGTGCAGTCCTGCCGAGGTAATCCGAACTGTTGACTTCAGATTTTGGCAGTAGGCATTCCACAATGGATAGGTTCCCACCTACACATGCTAACTGGAATACAGAGTTGTTGTAGTCATCCTTCAAAGACACGTCAGCCCCAGAAGACACAAGCAGGTCAAACACGTCCTTCGCTCCACTGGCAGCTGCATACATAACTGGCGTCCATCCTTTATTCCCACGACTGTTGATGTCATACATTGTCAGAACATGTTTCACAATGGAGACATGTCCACCATGACATGCCAGGTGAACGATAGTGTTGTTTTTGTCGTCTTTCGGGTAATGATTAGCCTTTGCTTTATCCAGCTGTTCAAATGCATGTTTTGATCCATTGACAGCTGCCTTCATTAGAGGTGTCCAACCCTGATTTCCTTGAGTATCAGCGTCAATCTTTGTTAGTAGAATGTCGGGTATGTCATCAAGGAGGCAGGCTAAATGAAGGAGACTGTTGTTATCATCGTCAGTCAATGCCGTGTCTGCATTTTGTGACACGAGGAGGTTAAACACATCCATCCTCCCTGACAATAGAGCACACATCACAGGCGTCATGCCGTTATTCCCTTGACAATCTTTGTCTGTTGATGGTAACAACGAATTAACAATGGTTTTATTGGCATACATACATGCCAGATGAAGAGCAGTGTTGTTGTTGCTATCACGTAAGGTTAAATCACTTCTGCCTTGTTTGACTAGATAATCAAAGATATCATTCTTGCCCACGACAGTTGCATGCATAATCGTTGTCCAGCCATTCACTCCTCGACTGTTGATATGACAAGTGTTACTTTTCTTCAGCTTTTTTTCAACATATTTGACAAGTGAAATGCTTCCATATTGACAAGCCAAATGTAACAGGTTATTGTTGATGGCATCACACAGTGTGATATCAGCTTTATGAACCACTAGAAGTTTCGAACTATCCATCTGTCCACCAGCAACTGCAAACATAACTGGCGTCCAACCATTCACAGCACGTCTGTTGATGTCACAAAGGGGGAGAAGTCGGTCTATGATGTCGTTGTTCCCCACGAAACAGGCATAATGGAGAATACCGTGCTTTGTATCATGAGACTTGGTCCCATCATCTGGAAACATTTGTTGCACTTTGTCTGCAACTTCCTTCATTTTCCACATGGGATGCATGATGTAGTTACTGAAAGTGCCATCAGCAACAGCTTCAGCCAGCCTGGCAGTAATGACGTCACTGTGAGCACCTGGGAAATAAATGACACTCTGTTCTGCTGGAGAGGTGTCATGCTGCAGATCACGTACATGGTCACAGATGAACTTTAAACTACAGTTATGGAGGAACAGCTCTGGTTTAGTATCCAATATGGCAGACATACACATGTCTTGTATTAGAGGATGGGAATATGAGACAAGGGCCAGGACCTCCTTCAGGTGTGTGTCTTGTATTTTGTTGTCGGATTCAGTGTGCCGTTTTCTTGTATTCTGTTCACCTCCACATAGTGACCTCAACAGAAATATTACTGACTGATCGTCCAGGTGATTTATGTTCTTATGCAGTTCCTGTTTTAGATGGAATTTAGGCATTTCAAAAAACGATTCTTTAAGTTTTTGAAAGTGAGCATATCTTGAGAAAAGCTTGCATGCCAGAGGAAAACCAACCCTTTCCCCGTATGCGATAATTGTTTTCACGTTGACCTCAGTTTTACAGTCGTAATGATCTTTATGTTTCAACCATATGGCCTTCTTCTCTTCACCTGTCATCAATTTGGTCAGGTCTACTACTGAAGAGTTTTGGAACAATATAGGTTCTTTGAGATTTGGCCTTGCTTGTTCAAGGTTGTTGGAATCTGTGGTAAATATAAAATACAAGTTCAGACGATCTTTTCTTCTTTGTTCCGTTCCTGGTGTCTGCTGCAGGATGTTGTATCTTCTTTCCAACTTGGTTTTCCAGGGTTCAAGATGTCCATGGAGCTCATAGATAACTTGTCTTAGGCGATGTACGTCCATGGATGGCCCAACGCTCTGAAATACGTCATCGAATATGATGCAGACGTCTTTGTCCTTACACAGACAATCAGACAACTGGAAAGTACCAAGGTCCTCAACCAGTACCACTTCATACCCCTGTCTCCTGTATTCAGCTCCAAACATCAGAGCCACGAATGTTTTACCTGCTCCCGGGGCACCACTTATTGTCACGTGGCCAAGTGTTTCCAGTTTTTCCTTAACCTTCCGGTAACCCTCAGTTTCCACGAACAGGTCACTGATGTCCTTCTCCCTGGACTGCTGATCTGCTAGAAAAAATACCACACACTGAAAGAAGTTCGTGGGTATTATTCGTTAAATCAAACATTCCTGTTGAAATTATGGATTATTGTAGTAGCATATCCTCTCAGAGAACCATCATTCATTTATCATAAACGTAATTGCTCTATTTGTGAAATGTCGCTTGATGGAACCACAGTGAACTTAGAGGAACACATTTGTTCCGTTACCTAAGTGGGAATGTTAAAGATGAACTGTCTCACAAAAACAAAGTTGGTACTAAAGTCGGAGTTTATATATATACCTGTAGGCTGCTTGTCAATGTCGGGAACATTCTTGTGTGTATCCTCGTTTCCTGGTGACTCTGTCAAAATAGACGTCGCAGTTACTTCACCGAAAAATGAAAGTTTGTTCTATAAATCGGAGTATTATGTTCAGGACTCAAGATATGAAATCTGTTATACTGCGAAGGAGACATGAAAACATTACTGACACTTGAAACTACATATATTAAAATATACATTCAGTATAACACATCTCTCAGTGATGTCAACAGCAACGCGTCAGTATACTCACCAAACTGGTCTGCTTCAGGCTGCTCCGCTTCAGGCGGCTTCTCCATCAAGGGAACTGAAACATGTTATGTGATCATCAGACCATGTTTATCAAACACATACACTACAGAATAACAAACAAATCAGTTCAACAGCCTCACTAACATCTGCATTAATATATTTACTGCATATTCATATTTTCTAAGACATGAACTATTAATAAAATAATAACTTATTGGATGAGAAACTATGCTAATATAAAGAGACAACATACACACACACATACATGTATTGCCATCAAGTTTGCCCCCTCCTAATAACACGCATGCACACTCATTCACACACACTCATTCACTCATTCAAACTCACTCTCTCACCTACACGCGCACATAAATCAGAGTTACCTCCCTTTGTAACTCAAACTCACGCTCTCTCACACACAATACACGGACAGACAGACAGACATGACGCCCAAAAGATCCTTATTTGACTAGACTGAGGAATACTTACCAGCTTCACGAGTACTGCAAGGAAAGGAAAACATTTGAATTATACTTTGTATTTCATATTTAGTTCCACGTGGTCACACCTTGAGCTTAAACTCAGTTTACAGTTTGCTCATTCAAATACGTTGTATCTTGTCAAAAACCAGTCCTGTCAATGTATGTACTCATATTTAGATGTTGATGACAAGGCATTTCTTTACCATTCATATTTTTCTCTCGAAATTCATTTACGCCGAGTGTATTCCACGGTGACCCAAGTAAGCCATTCATAATCGTTTACGAGTTATAGTTACCCGAATTCGTTATTGGGGTATCTTCTTTTCGATTCAGCCCTTCTCCTCGATCTCCTGGAAATGAATCGGAAGTAAAATTGAAGTGTTAAAGGTATGCTTATGAACATCTACACAGTTTCATACTTACAGGGAACAATGTAAGACAGTGTTGTTTCACTAAAGGTAATCTGTTCCACAGAGTTTCATACTGACATGGAACAATGTAAGACAGGGTTGTTTCACTAAAGGTAATCTGTTCCACAGAGTTTCATACTGACATGGAACAATGTAAGACAGTGTTGTTCCACTAAAGGTAATCTGTTCCACAGAGTTTCATACTGACATGGAACAATGTAAGACAGGGTTGTTTCACTAAAGGTAGCATGTTCTCTACATTCTGTGTTATACATGTCATACATGTCATACATTAGAGATGCTGCTAAAAGTGTCAGTGAAGATTAGTGTATACCCCCATGTGTCGATAAAACCCAGACGTACATATGTTGCAGTCTGACAATGTGGAGAATGAATTTTAGCTTATGCAGTTCAATAAACGCCTGGATATATAAGTTCGTTTACAAATCAATTGTTGTCTGTTTAATCGTTGATGACAAATTGCAAACATTGTGATGATTACTTTCATGACACGTCACAGAAAATTGAAAGGATACGAAAGTGTGTACATGTTTGATTATTTAAATGGATGACGTTTAATCCTAACATAAATATTCCACTTTCATTTGTTTGCGTTTTTGAAATTCAAAATAATTTTAAAAAAATGATTGGGCAGATTTATTTTCACTCAATTTTTTAAATGACAGAAGAATGTTGGTGCTTTGTAGACTGTCGAAGTGATGCACATTTATAGAGTAGAATATACACTTATTGTCTGAACACCACCACAGCAAGGATGATACAGACGATTAGGATAATGAGGAACATACACTTACAGTTTGAACACCACCACAGCTAGGATGATACAGGCGATAAAGATAATGAGGAATATACACTTACAGACTGAACACTGCCACAGCAAGGATGATACAGACGATGAAGATAATGAGGAATATACACATACAGCCTGAACATTACCACAGCAAGGATGATACAGACGATGAGGATAATGAGGAATATACACTCACAGTCTGAACACCACCCAGCAAGGATGATACAGACGATGAGGATAATGAGGAATATACACTTACAGTCTGAACACCACCACAGCAAGGATGATACAGACGATGAGGACAATGAGGAATATACACTTACAGTTTGAACACCACCACAGCAAGGATGATACAGACGATGAGGATAATGAGGAATATAAACTTACAGTTTGAACACCACCACAGCAAGGATGATACAGACGATGAGGACAATGAGGAATATACACTTACAGTTTGAACACCACCACAGCAAGGATGATACAGACGATGAGGATAATGAGGAATATAAACTTACGGTTTGAACACCACCACAGCAAGGATGATACAGACGATGAGGACAATGAGGAATATACACTTACAGTCTGAACACTGCCACAGCAAGGATGATACAGACGATGAGGATAATGAGGAATATACACTTACAGTTTGAACACCACCACAGCAAGGATGATACAGACGATGAGGATAATGAGGAATATAAACTTACAGTTTGAACACCACCACAGCAAGGATGATACAGACGATGAGGACAATGAGGAATATACACTTACAGTCTGAACACCACCACAGCAAGGATGATACAGACGATGAAGATAATGAGGAATATACACTTACAGTTTGAACACTGCCACAGCTAGGGTGATAGAGACGATGAGGATAATGAGGAATATACACTTACAGTTTGAACACTGCCACAGCTAGGGTGATAGAGACGATGAGGATAATGAGGAATATACACTTACAGTCTGAACACCACCACAGCAAGGATGATACAGACGATGAGGATAATGAGGAATATACACTTACAGTCTGAACACCACCACAGCTAGGATGATACAGACGATGAGGATGATGAGGAATATACACTTACAGTCTGAACACCACCACAGCCAGGGTGATACAGACGATGAATATAATTAGGAATATACACTTACAGCCTGAACACTTCCACAGCCAGGGTGATACAGACGATGAGGATAATGAGGAATATACACTTACAGTCTGAACACCACCACAGCAAGGATGATACAGACGATGAGGATAATGAGGAACACTGGGACAAGGATCGCAGCAAGATTGTTGTCATCGGGGCCTGCCGTGGTCGTGACTGTTGATGGGTCTGATAAAATACCTGTTGAAAAACAATAATAATAATAAACATCCACGATAAATAATCAACATCCGTATGTCAGATTAATATGAGATATGTGCTATCCATATGAGTGTCTATGTAACCATGAAATATTACACCTGTGAACATCCATTTCCGAATTTATCCCCAGCAACCCATGGTCCTAACAAGGAACATTGGGACAAGAATCTCAGAAAGATTCGCTGTTGTCGTGGTTGGGTGTTCGAAAAATGCTTCTCAAAACGAAGAAAAACATAAACCTATTTAATTAAAGGTGTAACCATCTCCATAACCCGGTTTACAACAATATTTTGTAAATCAATTTCCTATGCTATACAATTAGATACATAAAGGTTAAAAATTGCCTTATAAAATGTCGAGGTTTGGCACCTTACTTTAACACGTGTTTCAAAAATCGCCACCTACCAAGAGTGAGTGAGTGAGTTAGTGAGTGAGTGAATGAGTTAAGATTTAAAGTCACATAGGCAATATTTCAGCCATATCGTGACTGAAACTAGTTCTAAATTCATAATAAATACACATGATATATAAAACCCTGTCAACGAAGGACAGTAAAATTGCTAGATTATCACAAAATGGGTTAAAACTAGATAGCAGATATCTTTAAAAGTACAAACCTATTTTTGGACAATACAATGTAAAAATGTGCTATTGATCGCCAACAACTGAAGGTAGATCACCATACTAGGGTCCATGGGGACTTACATTACTTTTGCTACCTGTATGGACCCTAGCTGGATTTACACCATCCCTTCAGTCGTTAGCGACGTGGCATTTATGCTGAGATTTAGCCATACATTAAAATGACAAAACTACTACTATTAAAATCCTGTTAGACTTAAATATACTTAAAATGTTTTGGGACGTACGTACCAACCTACCAAGAAGTAATATATGAAATGCATATTTATGATTTTCTTTTTTAGTATTCGATGATAAAGCAGTTAATACGTTTAGGTCCTGCATGAACTACTGTACCTGAAGTCTCATTGCAGAAATCCCCGATGTACGTCTCTTTACAACCTAACGTACAATGTCCATCTCCGATATTGCAGGTTTCATTTAAACAGCCTCCGCTGCAGGATATGTTACACTGGTCGCCATGGTAACCACGAACACATCCCTCAGAACATATCCCTGTGTACTTCTGACAGTGTCTGAGGTTTCTCCGTGGGTCAGGGTAACAGTTGAAGGGGCAGGCCCTGTCGCAGTTCTCGCCATATATTCCCCAGGAGCATTGTTCTTCGCCATGTACCGGTAGAGCTGGGAGAGAATTACAAATAGTAATGACGCAAGGTAACATCGATTTCAAAATTTGAAGACAGTATGAACTCATGTGTGCCCTATGACCCTTAGTCTGAATTGGAGTGAGTGAGTTAAAATTTAACGTCACATCGGCAATATTGCAGCAATATCGTGATGAAGATTTGAATAATACATAAAGTTGTAATAACTAAAGTCAAGTTATAAAACCGAAGGACAGTAAAAAACTAGAGGAACACAGATATAGATATGAAACTAGTATGAAAAGCTAAACAAATTAACTATAGAAGACAATACAATATATAAACAAGCTAAATATTGCCAACAACTGGAGGTAGATCACCATACTAGGGACTATGGGGGCTTACAGTACATTTGCTTCCTGCATGGACCCTAGCTGGATGTCTGAATTGGAGCTAAAGCATCTTCCCCAACGATATAGATATAACACAGGTACTCACTGATCCCCAGCAAAACTGCAAATAGCCACATGGCGGCAGTTGCTGCTTTACCTGTTGGAAAACAAAACAAATATCGGTAGTAACTACAATAAATTATAAAAAATAGATAATAAAATGCTAAAGTTGCCGAGTTTAATTAATTTCTTGTGTAACGACGAAAACGCTATTCGTGAACTTTCAAATATAGCAACAACTCAACCCTGAAACGTCATGTAAAACAATTGACAAACTAACAAACAAACGCAACAAACAACGGTTACAAGTTTACAAATCAGGAACGGTTACTGCAAAGAGAATACATGTACATTGTTATTGGAAAATGCATTGGCATTACAAAACTATGGGCAGAAATATGATGGTGGGACATGCTCATCGGGTATCGTCACTTGTTTAAAGAAGTTGGAAGCGATGGTGGAACATGCTCATCGGGTATCGCCACTTATTTAAAGAAGTTGGAAGCGATGGTGGAACATGCTCATCGGGTATCGCCACTTGTTTAAAGAAGTTGGAAGCGATGATGGGACATGTTCATCGGGTATCACCACTTGTTTAAAGAAGTTGGAAGCGATGATGGGACATGTTCATCGGGTATCACCACTTGTTTAAAGAAGTTGGAAGCGATGATGGGACATGTTCATCGGGTATCACCACTTGTTTAAAGAAGTTGGAAGCGATGATGGGACATGTTCATCGGGTATCGCCACTTATTTAAAGAAGTTGGAAGCGATGGTGGGACATGCTCATCGGGTATCGCCACTTATTTAAAGAAGTTGGAAGCGATGGTGGGACATGCTCATCGGGTATCACCACTTGCTTAAAGAAGTTGGAAGCGATGGTGGGACAAACCCATCGGGTATCGCCACTTGTTTAAAGAAGTTGGAAGCGATGGTGGGACATGCTCATCGGGTATCACCACTTATTTAAAGAAGTTGGAAGCGATGGTGGGACATGCTCACCGGGTATCGCCACTTGTTTAAAGAAGTTGGAAGCGATGGTGGGACATGCTCATCGGGTATCGCCACTTGTTTAAAAAAGTTGGAAGCGATGGTGGACATCCTCATCGGGTATCGCCACTTGTTTAAAAAGTTGGAAGCGATGGTGGACATGCTCATCGGGTATCGCCACTTGTTTAAAGAAGTTGGAAGCCGATGGTGGGACATGCTCATCGGGTATCGCCACTTGTTTAAAGAAGTTGGAAGCGATGGTGGGACATGCTCATCGGTATCGCCACTTGTTTAAAGAAGTTGGAGCGATGGTGGGACATGCTCATCGGGTATCACCACTTATTTAAAGAAGTTGGAAGCGATGGTGGGACATGCTCATCGGGTAGCGCCACTTATTTAAAGAAGTTGGAAGCGATGATGGGACATGCTCATCGGGTATCGCCACTTGTTTAAAGAAGTTGGAAGCGATGGTTGGACATGCTCATCGGGTATCGCCACTTGTTTAAAGAAGTTGGAAGCGATGGTAGGACATGCTCATCGGGTATCGCCACTTGTTTAAAGAAGTTGGAAGCGATGGTGGGACATGTTCATCGGGTATCACCACTTGTTTAAAGAAGTTGGAAGCGATGGTGGGACATGCTCATCGGGTATCGCCACTTATTTAAAGAAGTTGGAAGCTGACAATGGCAATGACAATGCTTTTAGCACATTAACTGACTGACTGACTGTGTGAGTTTATTTGTACGCCGCTTTTAGCAATATTCCAGCAATATCGCGGCGGGGGACACCATAAATGGGCTTCACACATTGTTCCGATGTGGGGAATCGAATCTGGGTCTTCGGCGTGACGAGCCAACGCTTTAACCACTAGTCTAGCCCGCTGCCCTATTTGTAGCAGATTAATAATAATAATAATAGTCCGCTTGTAACGTGCTGAACCCATGCACAGTACATTCTCTAAGCGCACATGTTTGAGAGGAGGTGCGAGAAGTTACACAGAGAAGGCAAGTCTGAACAGAAAGGTTTTGGGTTTCAAACGATGACAATGATTAGGATTTCTTCCTAAAACATTGTCAATACCCGATGTCAAAATACACACAACCTATATTTAATCATTATGTCTGATTTACATTCGGTATGATTTCTGGGTTTCTAACCCCAAAGCCCGAGAAACCGACACAGACGTATGTGAAAGCAAACATTCGCCCGTACGGAAACCAAGATGTTCTATTTTTATAGTAAATGTATCCTGGAAAACTTGAATGGCATCGAAAGATAGTGTGCTTTGTGTCCTGCTGACAAGGAACATGGAATCAACCCCAAACATCGCCAATCTGTAACTTACAAACATAAGGTCATGTCGTGATTTTCGTGTGTTCATTGTGTATGTTTAAAACTCTCCCCCCAGTTCTGCTCTGGGTACATTTCATTTTGCATTCTGCATTCTGAACATTTTTGAGAAACAATTGTGTTTCCACATTTTTTCAGAAAGAAAATAGCATGGAAATATTGGAGCTGTTGTCACTTGCGCATTGTTGGGATCTCACAAGGTAAATCCAGTTTGTAACATTGCTAGATACTGAATAACACTTCAATTACGTAATGCTATTGTTTACATCATATCACTATTATTGACATCTTTATCATTATGTGCGTAAGAGAGTTTTGTTTTACGCCGCTTTTAGCAATATTCCGGTAATATAACGGCGAGGGACACCAGAAATGGGCTTCACAGATTGTACCCACGTGAGAAATCGAACCCGTGTCTTCGGCGTGACGAGCGAAAGCTTTAACCACGGGGCTATCCCACTGTCCCTATCATTACTCAAACTAGTTTGAGAAATACTTTCAGAAATCTGTTCCAGTTGCACCATGCAGAGACGGTCAGCACTGTTCAGACTGTAGTAACATCTCGGGACAGTGTCTCACACAATGTGACCATGGCTATTTCGGCCTGATGTGCAAATCTGTCTGCAGTAAGACGTGTAAGGGAAACATATGCCAATCTTCAGCTACTGGCATTGGCGTGTGTTCCGAAGGATGTGCGTCTGGATACCAGGGCGGAAGGTGCCTCATACCATGTGACAGTCCAGGCGGTGGATGTACAGAATGTCCAGGTGGTTGTGACGGAAAGTACTGTTATCTGGACGCTGTGTCCTGTGTGTCTGGCTGCAGTGATGGGCACTACGGATCTGACTGCAAGACGTGTTCTGACAGATGCAAAACATGCAACAGGACATCAGGGGCATGCTGGGAGTGCCATCCGCCATATTTCGGCCGGACCTGCGAGTATTCATGTGATCGATGTATAAAACCATGCAACTTTCGTTGTTTCCATGGATGCCTGCCTGGGTTTTATGGCCCTTTCTGCAGTAAGAATTGCAGTGAAAACTGTCGAGTCAACCACATTTCTTTGACCGAAACAGCTGCTAGTTCCGAATGCCAAGAGAAGAAAAGTGTATCTATGGATGTAAATATGGCTTGGTCGGTTTACAATGCTCCAATCAGTGTAAGTATGGAATTTCTAGGTATAATTAATAATTGTTAACAGGTTTATGATTGATGATAGATTTAGTTTTAGTTTTGATTGTCATGATTACGATAACAGAGAATTCACAAAAATTCACAACTTTACTTACACGTAGATTTATATTTTGAGCTTGTATCCATTTAAAACTGGATAAATAATGAGGGTAACCCCTCTTGAGGCACACAGTCACCTTAATCTAACCTTATTCACTTGATACATCAGTAACCATAAAAATGGTTTTCATGGCAGCAATCGACCATTTTGCATATCATGGAACGAGTCACTGACAAGTACACAACACCTGTCAATAGCAGTTATGGGATCCACAAGATGAAATGACATACTGAAACCTACGATCCATATTTACAAAAAGCTTAAATATTTAAACCAAATTGGACCTCACATCATAGCTTTCTGTTGAATACATGATTTGATCCTTAGCAAAGTGTGAATAGTAAAGGTTGACCATGTGGTGTAACGTGATTCTTTTCTCTGTTCAACAGAAAGTTAAGTCTGTCAGCAATGCTCATTATGTATATCTATGTATGTTTAGATGGGGCTACACATGCTGTTACTATAGGACTTTCAACAGGATCAGCACTTCTATTTCTGATGTTGATGGCAGTGTGCTACCGGTGTCGAAATGTCGTGAGATGTGACAGGTAAGATCATAACAGAAGTAAACAGTTGGCTCTGTCTTCTTTTGCATGTCGTGCTCCCCTTACATTACCAAACCAGTGAAGATTTGGGTTGGAATTGGTCTTCAGCAACCAATACTTATAGTAAAAGGCGACTAAGGGGATCGAGTGGTCAGGTTTGCTGACTTTTTTGACACATGTCATCGATTCCCAACTGCGTAGATGATCGCTCATGCTGTTGGTCACTGGATTGTCTTGTGGAGACTCGATTATTTACAGACCGTTGCCATAAAAATTGTAAATTGCTAAATGTGACTAAAACAACAAACCAACCAACCCTTACATTACCTGTAGTTCGTAGAAATCAACTGGAAAACAGTATTGCGCCTTGTTGAAACATCGACAATAAAGTGATTTTAGGGCTTGATCGACTCTCCTTTTGGTTTACCGAGATTGTGTTCATTTTTGTTGCTTTACTGTCACCTCTTGGTCAAACCTAGTAGTTTATCAAAGTGCATGAACATACACAACTGCCACTTTGCAGTTGCTATATGTAATTGTGTTTAGAGCTGATATGAAATGCTCGTTTATCAATGGCAATTCCCGTTAGTACACTGTACTAATTTTAAGTGTTTATAGTTGTGACTTGTCAGATAAGCATGTACCACACTTGGAGCAAAATACATTATACACAAGGGTGTTACCTGGACACATGTGCCGTCATTTGTTAAACTCGCCCTGTGAATACTACAAAGTAGGAATGAAAATACGAAACAAATTGAGCTTGTGAACGTTACTGGAAAATATCTCGGTATTGTGGACAATGACAGACTCAGTGTGTTAAAATGAGATGACCTTAAAATAAAATAACATTAAAATGAGATGACGTTAAATTGAAAAATATGCTTCATACGTATGACATTTGTTATTATGGGTGACAGGGCAGAGCAACATGGTTGACAACTCAAATAATATAAATGAGTCCACTTCTTTTGTTACAAGGATGAATACATATTTTCTCCCTTCACAGAGGCACCCAAGCGGCCTTCCCTCTACCTGACAGTGTGGAGGAACACAAAGATACCCCCGCTGTTTAGTACCATGGGTATTGTGAAATACTGGAGGACGACGACAACAGGAGTCACCAGCCTATCATGAACCCAGAAGAAGGAAGTGATTCTCCAATGCCTGTTTTGGCAGACTGTTTCCCTGCAGCAGGATACGGAGGTGGAGGAGGAGGGCCATCAAACAGCCGACACGTGCGGGATGTCTGTGTCGATGACACAAACACTGTCGTCAACTACATATTGCCAGTTGAGAGATACTGAAAAACGTGACGTATATATTCTGTAAGGATGTGTTACGGTGTTTCTGAATGTCCAATCTATTCACCCGTTAAGGTCCGGTTTATTGATCTTCAGTAGCACATGCTTGTCGTAAGAGGCAACTAACGGGATCAGGGGGTCAGGCTGTCTGACTTGCTTGACACATGTCATCGGATCCCAATTGCGTAGATCGATGCTCATGATGTTGATCACTGGATCGTCTGGTCCTTTTTTTCTCGATTCTTTACTGACCGCCGCCATATAGCTGGAATATTGCTGAATGAAGCTTAAAACTAAACTCACTCACTCCCATTTGTCCAGCTTTTTACAGGAAAAACGTACCAGTATCATTATTGTAGTATTTCTCTATTGCTGGAACATTACCCTGGACGAATATGTTTTTAAAATTATGCAGTTTCAGTGTTGTCATCCTTACAACTGCCGGAGTTTGATGCTCATGCTGTTGATCACAGGATTGTCTGGTCTGGTATGATTGTTTACATACCGCTGCCATGTAACTGGAATATTTCTGAATACGGCGTTAACATCAAACAAGCGTAAGCTGATAAGCAGGAAACGTACATCTACTTCTCATCAAAGGTTTAGTCTCTCTAGAGTAAACGTAGCCACTTACTTCAGCTGATAAGCAGGAAACGTACATCTACTTCTCATCAAAGGTTTAGTATCACTAGTGTAAATGTAGCCACTTACTTCAGCTGATAAGCAGGAAACGTACATCTACTTCTCATCAAAGGCTTAGTCTCACTAGTGTAAATGTAGCCACTTACTTCAGCTGATAAGCAGGAAACGTACATCTACTTCTCATCAAAGGTTTAGTCTCACTAGTGTAAATGTAGCCACTTACTTCAGCTGATAAGCAGGAAACGTACATCTACTTCTCATCAAAGGTTTAGTCTCACTAGTGTAAATGTAGCCACTTACTTCAGCTGATAAGCAGGAAACGTACATCTACTTCTCATCAAAGGTTTAGTCTCACTAGTGCGTAGCCACTTCAGCCAACTGTTATAAACTAGATTTTGCAAAATATTCCATACTGTTTAAAGGTACTGTTTACACATGAACTCATGTACTGTAAAAAAAATTCGTAACGTTGAAAAGATTATTGTCATGAGTTCAATAAATGATGAAAATTGTCGAATCCTTAACAAAACTCTACACCAAAACACAGCTGTTCACATTGCACGATATTTGCACATGCTTTTCATCATTTGATGCATGATCCTCGTGCAATTCAACTGCATAAGGTTTGCTGTTGGTTCCCCTAAGTTAGCGGAGAAATTCATCTTAGATATATCGCGATGTAAACACACACACAGATATACATATATATATATATATATATATATATATATTTATCACCCAAAACTGTGTTCCACAGGAGATATCGCTTGTGTGAGATCAGACGATATCTCCTAGGAGATATCGTTTTGGCAGTAGATTTTGCACAATGCCCTGACAATGCTATGACGTCATGAACTTGATGACGTCACAATGCTATGACATCGCTGCACTGCAGTTCTAATGGCAGTACTGTGTTCAGAGATGTACATTTTTCATTGAAAACTAATGAAGAGTGATTTTGATGATAATAGAATCACCTCGTAAATCTTTCTGATATCAATATATCAACACTGTTGATAGTAAAATATCCTCGGCAAGCCTCGGATATTTGTTACTTTATCAACTCGTGGTGATATATTTGATATCAAGAGACACTCGGGTGAGATTCTCTCTCTCTCTCTCTCTCTCTCTCTCTCTCTCTATATATATATATATATATATATATATTCAGTCAATGTCTACAATCAGGCAATGTGTACAATGACTGAAATAACCAGTCAATGTGGGCATTGCCTGATTCACTCAGTCACGGATGGAATCCGGGTAGCTTGACCTTTTTCATTTATTGGAAAATGAGTGTTAAGCAGTTCTAGTAAGTAAACATAATTCCCCCCAGTTGGTAGGCCCACACCAAGCAACATATTCAATTTGTTGTGTAACAAGAAAGCGTCCGCATTTGTGCAATCGTTTGAATACAACTTCCGTCTCCATTTACATGACTCTCATTGTCAAATGGTCACAACGACCCGGGCCGCGATCCATAGATTGTTCGGAGCACGGCAGTCTCTGCCTCACACCTTCCCCAGCTGTACCTCAAACCTACCCAGCTGAACCCCACACCTCCCCACCTGTACCTCACACCTCCCTAGCTGTACCTCATACCTACCAAGTTGTACCTTACACCTTCCTAGCTGTACCTCACACCTCCCCACCTGTACCCCACACCTCCCTAGCTGTACCTCACACCTCCCCAGCTGTATCTTACACGTTACAGATACAACAACACCTCCCCAGCTGTACCTCAAATATCCCCGGCTATACCTCACACCTCCCTACCTGTACCTCATACCTAACTAGCTGTACCTTACACCTCCCTAGCTTTACCTCATACCTCCCTAGCTGTACCTTACACCTCCCCACCTGTACCTCACACCTCCCTACCTCTACCTCATACCTCCCTAGCTGCTCACCACCATGGCAAATGGTGAAACAACAGGTCGATCTTACCCTCACCAAACTCAAAAAGTCTGAAACAAATCCCTTGGTGTTCCAACATAATGAATCTGTGAAAACGATGAAGTTTTTCGAATCTTTTGCTGCTGAATGTAGGTCGAAGCTGAGAAGATAGCTTTGGCTTCAGCGGTGAAAATGGAACTGTTGTCGGGGATCCTAGAGGAGACAGTCTTGGATCCACTGACTGTAGCGCTGGCAACTTGGCCATCGTCCTTGGATCCGTCTGTGAAAACGGATCTGTGAGTGTTATACTTCGAACGTAACTGGTTGTATTCCTGTTGGAACACCAAGGGATTTGTTTCAGACTTTTTGAGTTTGGTGAGGGTAAGATCGACCTGTTGTTTCACCATTTGCCATGGTGGTGAGCAGCTAGGGAGGTATGAAGTAGAGGATAAATAAATTTATCTAGGGTAAATACGGTAGTCTAGACCAACTACCGTGGAGGCATGTGTTGCACGAGAAGTTGTGCTTGTTTAGTCACGTGATAGAAGGTTACAAGGTGGGTTGAAGATATTGTTTCGTCACTCGAGGTCTACGCGTTACTCAGGCGAGTAGCTTTGCCTTGATTTTATTTTTCATTGGAGACCAGGCCGCTGGGCCGTGTGTTTGGCCACTGGGCCGTGTGTTGAGCCACTTGGCTGTGTGTTGAGACACTGGGCCGTGTGTTGAGCCACTTGGCTGTGTGTTGAGACACTTGGCCGTGTGTTGAGCCACTTGGCTGTGTGTTGAGACACTGGACCGTGTGTTGAGCCACTTGGCTGTGTGTTGAGACACTGTGCCGTGTGTTGAGCCACTTGGCTGTGTGTTGAGACACTGGGCCGTGTGTTGAGCCACTTGGCTGTGGGTTGAGACACTGGACCGTGTGTTGAGCCACTTGGCTGTGTGTTGAGCCACTGGACCATGTGTTGAGCCACTTGGCTGTGTGTTGAGACATTGGGCCGTGTGTTGAGACACTTGGCTGTGTGTTGAGGCACTTGGCCGTGTGTTGAGCCACTTGGCTGTGTGTTGAGACACTGTGCCGTGTGTTGAGCCACTTGGCTGTGTGTTAAGCCACTTGGCCGTGTGTTAAGCCACTTGGCTGTGTGTTACGAATGTAGACCACTGGGTCATGTTACAAATGCAGGCTACCGGGCCGTGCTGTACACTTGCAGGCTACCGGGCCATGCTGCACACATGTAGGCCACGGATGTATCGATGTTTTCACACACTCGAATGTGTCAGCGGGTTTATGTGATAACATGCCTCCAGTATATATGATATTGTCATTGCAATATAAATGCCATTGAATATATTTCTCAATTTACTAGAGTAAATCCTCTGAAGTAACTGGTACTGAATTATAGACCGTGTTAATCTTATACCAGTTGCATAGCATCTCTCTGTTGCTTATTAGTTCTTGACACATTCTTGTATGTACATGTTTTGGCTTACTTTCGGTTTAACTTTGGGCGAGTGAGTTAAAATAAATGAGTAAAAACAAATTCAGATAATATACTTATATCTGCAAAGAAGAGTAAAATAACTAGAACATTACATTTATATTAATGTAAAACTAGTATGAAAATCTAATATATCTTAACATGAAGACAATACAATATAAAAACAGTCTATAGATCGCCAACAACTGAAGGTAGATCACCATACTAGGGTCCTTGGGGAATTATAGTGCCTTTGCTACCTGCATAGACCCTAGCTGGATTTACATCATTCCTTCAGATGTAGGCAATTTTGACAATCTAGCCGTAACTTAAAATAACATATATACATGTACAGTCAAAATAATAACATGTTTAAATGTACTTGAATTGGTTTGGGACGTGCGTACCCTCTCAGGAGGTATAACTTTGGAAGCCATCACACAAGAGTGTACTTACATATTGTCAGCAAGAAGAGTATCTGTGTGGCTCGAAGTGCGACCATGTTAAAGTGCCTGCAAACACAAGTAAAACCTATTATATTCAATGTACCTGATACAAGAATATTGTAGCACTATATGTTTCCGGGTGTTTTGCGTTTACGGGTTTTACATTTTCTTAAACGTCCGAAAACACATAAAACGAGAAAATACTGAAACGTTTAACTGCTGTGAGAGTAGAACAAACAGTGTGCTGATATATGCACGGAAGCCCCAGAATGTTTGATACAACACATCTCGAGTCTCAGGTCGACCAGGAAGGTATAACTACAGCGGATGACAGCTGTGTTAAATTAGACACGGAAACAAATACAGTCCAAGCTCGCTTGTCTGGACACTTGGCTTTTCTACAATTTTGTCCGGAAAGAATAACAATTCTAAATACCGGAATCTCTTTTCAGTCCCTAACCCCCCCCCCAACCTCCACAAACACACTGCACCCCACCAACACCCACACAAACCACTTCTCTACATTGCATTGTGAGTCTCGGCGTAGCCCGAATATTCCATTCATTATTCACAATATCCACTTGCACAATCTGAAGAAAACACTCTCCTGCATGTTCTGGAATTAACTGAGCTCTCATTTTTAAAGTGATATAAAACTGATCAACACGTACATTATATACACATATTGTTTTTTAAATTCGGGATAAAATGGTATCACTGAATATGCAATAACCTGTGATCTATGAAAGACACTTCAGATGTGGGACAGTGATAGGAAAGTGTGTGTACGTTTTATTAGACATGTGTCAGTTGTTGATTAGTAAAGATGATAGGCGGATCCAGGTAATTTCAAAAGTGTGGACCGGGCTAATAAGTGAGTGAGTGAGTTTAGTTTTACGCCGCTTTTAGCAATATTCCAACAATATCATTAGGGGACACCAGAAAATTGGTTTCTCACAGTGTAGCCATGTGAGCAATCGAATCAACGAGCAATCGCTTTAATAAGTAGGCTAGCCATCTCGCTCCCCCCGCCGGGGGCCAATAAGCGTGGGCCTTATTGTTCACAGTGTTTAGAGGAAAGCCAGTTGTTAATGCAGAAAGACAGTTCTTGATGTAATATGACACCAAACGGATAAAAATATAACAACGGGTCACGAAAAGAATGAGTGAATTTAGTTTTGCCGCTTTTAGCAATAATCCAGCAATATCACGGGGGGGGGGGGGGGGGGGGGGGGACACCAGGAATACGCTTCGTCGTGACGAGCGGATGCTTTGACCACAAGACGACCCAGTCGAAAGAAAAGAAGCACGGTGTTTTCGATTCACATCGACAAATACTCCTCTAATTCTTACATGGTGGCTGTCGTGAGGCGATACATGATCACATCTCTCTGACTTCAGGTATCTATGAACATTTCTCACAGTTTCTAGTGATGCGTAGTTTCTACAACAACTCTTTTAAAAACCGGAATTCCCATTGTTACGTCACTCAGTACTCATTGACGAGCTATTTTTAGCGTCACGTCACCCCCTCGCGAGATTTAAGTTAACCAATCAGAAGCTCATATCGGCTTCCTGTCTCCTGGCATAATCTTACAATTAGCCTCAGAAAGTATATAATTTTAATTCACAAAAAGCAACTGCATAAATAAACTGGAAATAAGCCGCAGGGAGATTGGTAAATTCGAGCTGGTCCTAACGGAAATATAGACTTTATTTGGAGCCTTTATATAACAGAAACGGCAGGGTGGAAGGTAGGCTAATAACTAGTCTCTGAAAAAAACAGTTCATAATAAACAATGAAACTGTGGAAATCTAGACTTGCCACATAATCTAGACTAGCATGGGCTTTCTTGGATATGCTTGTTTCAGGGTCTGTATGACAGACAAGGTGGAATGAGAAATAATACAGCTCAGCGACAGAGCTATCCTGGCCAGAACTCTAGTTTCCCTTTCGCGATTGTTTACTGGTGTTGTTTCCGCTTTTTTATACCGTGTATCTATGAAAATAGTATTTCTGTTCTGTTTCTGGGAGGTTTATTTGGTAGTGAGCGTTGCCATGGCTCTCAGTGCAAACAAAGATAGATCAATAACACTACTGTATATAAACACATTACTGTGATAATCTAACGTAACAAATGTCATATTTGGGATTACACTTTCCTAGTAAAGTACAAATTCTAGTTCTTTTGTTTGGTTGAGTCCCATCCGTGATTCGAACCCACACACTCAGAGTCAGGCACCTAATCGCCTAATTCCAAATATGACATATGTTACATCTGACCACTTTCTAAATGGCGTTGTGTATTTCATGTGGTAATATAGACTTGCCACAAATTCTAGACTTGAATGAGCCTTCTTGGATATATTTGTTTCAGGGTCTGTGTGACAGACTGATAATGTATCAGAAGCTCGCGATGTTGATCACTGGACTGTCTGGTTGAGACTGGTTATTTTACAGACCGCAGCCATATAGAAGGAATATTGTAGAGTGCGGTGTAAAACAACAAGAAACAAAAATACACGGCTTCAGACTGTCAGTCACACGTGAACAATGACTTGACGAAACGGGTCCGGGTAGTTTATTCAGGATCCGGGTAGTGAACATTGTTTACCCGACCCTTGTACTCTACAACTAGCTAGCCCTAGATGTCTCAAGATAAATCTTATACCTATTGAAGTATTTAACATTTCGCTTGCCTCCCGGGGCTTGTAAAGGGTAGTATACTTTGTCAGCGTTGCGTGAACAAAGAACATTTATTTCCATGAGTTGGTTGACTTACACACTTATAACACTGAGGGTATGATTACATTGGCGGTAAACACAATCTGGACTCCAGTGTTTGTGGTCAATGTGACAATCGATGATGAATGAGTTATACTTTCATTGGAGGAGTGAGTCACCAGTCTGCCAATACATACATAAAAACGTAATGAAAGCAAAGCGGCAGTCAGTATTTACACACACCCATACCAAGACGAGCGCGCTTGTCAGTTTTCTGAGACTGTTTAAACAAAGAAGATATACTCACTCTGAGACTGTCTAAACAAAGAAGATATACTCAGCCTGGTATATCGCGCAGGTTACTTACGGTAGCTCCACGGTCAAGGTGACATTCCCAATCCAGATCGGGCACGCTGGTTAGATGGGGTAATGATATCCTGTCAAAACTTTGTGCAACTGCAGTGGTTGTGCACGGACAAGTCTGCTCAAGTAGGTCAACGCATGTATCGTTAGGACGACTGGGTAGTCGCTGATTGCCGTCGTGTTCCACGAAGTTATCAGTGGATCAATGCTCCTGGCGTGAACCACCAGATGCTTAACTATTTATAGACCGCCATCATTTGCAGGAAGTAATTAATTGATTTGTTTGAGTTTGCTGTGTTTGTTATGCAACCGAGGCATTAAAGGTGTAAAGCAGGCCTTGGCACGGGCACATGTACCCAAATACAAAAATACTGATTCGAGAACGTAAGCATAGAGCTATAAATATGATACCCATATGGAAATCAGGAATGAAACAAATGTCATGATTGATAGATAGTCATATCAGAAAAAAAGCTAAGTACCGTTAAAATATCGGTTTTGGATCGAAACCGTCACGCCCTGTCGTACCCGAAAGGTTCCACGTCGACAAGAAAATGATTCTCCAACGTTGGTAGGAGCCGATCTTGAATTTAGCACTTCAAAGATTGTTAACTTGCTCTGAGTCATTAGTAATGCTGACGTTCAGTATTCACGGTAACAGATAAGTCCCCCTGGCACAGTTGTGCACTCCGCGAAAGGAACCGACAGCAACACTACAGGGCATCACAAGGTCATCTGACGGTCCACCATAACGTCAAATGACGCTAGGATTGCCTCAAATGACACTAAAGACGTCAAATGACGCCACGGCCACATCGAAGGTCTCTTGTATGAAGTTTAACGTCACTTAGCCGACTTAACGACAACATTTTATCACCTGACAGTAAACGAATACGTCAAAGAATATATTGGATGACGTCAAATGACGCTCCTGAATTTAAGACAACGGACCCAAACTTCCAATCAAGTCGTTGTTCGTTTTCGCCAGACCGCCGGCGTTAAAGGCACCGACCACTAATCTTTAAATATCTTTTGCTGCACTTGCTGAGGATATCACGTTATGTTCTATAAGGTGTACAGTGAATGTGGACTTTCTTGACAGGTTGATTGGTTTGTTGTTCAACGCCGCACTCGGAAATGTTCCAGTTCTATGGCAGTGGTCTGTAAATAATCGAGTCCGGATCACACGATCCTGTGATCAACACCATATGCATCGAATTACGCAATTTGGACACAATGACATGCGTAAACAAAGTCAGCGAGCCTGACCACCCGATCCCGTTAGTCGCCTCTTTCGACAATGATGGGTTATTGAAGATCAATTCTAACCCGGATCTTCTCGGGTCTTCTGGATAGGCGTTGGCATATATTTGGAGGTGCCCTCACCAACGTCATGTCGAATGTCAACGTAAGGCACACTACAGATGGCATGACATTTCCATGACTGCGTGGACACCAGTGCACATTATGTACATGCTTATTATACTGAACATTATACTATACTGCTCATTTTGAGTAGTAAATTATATAGTAAAAGGTGGGCGAATGCGATACTGGCCAGGTCGGACCTGATGCATCCGTCCTATCAGCTATGGTGAACCACGCCGGATGCACGCAGCACTCTCTTTTGGAAAACGCCACCATGCACGTGTGCGGGATCTCGTGACCATAATATCATTTGCCTAACTACCAACCGTTTGCTGGTGATTAGAAAAAAAATACTCGTCAACAAATATCGAGATATAAACAATTCTCATGTCACGCTTTACAAATGTTGAATGTGAACGTGCATTTTGCATGCTGAAGGCTGACCAGTCCAATGTGGCTCATGCACGCACCATGAGATACAGTAGACAGACAATTCACAACCCGTTTATCAAACGGACAGGTGAGGCCGAGAGCATATAAATGTACATGTAAGAATAACAAAATGCCTCATAGACCTCATTCACCTGATGAAGGAGTAAGTATATACCCCGAAACTTTGTGTTCCTCATAGTAGAGAAGTTGACATCCATGGAATTATCTTATTATTATTATTATAGGATATTTATATAGTGCACATATCCACGCACTAGTGCATGCTCAAGGCGCTGGTATTTTCTCCCTCGATCATAGGCCGCAATATCACCGGCACATCTTATTATCAATCTCAACTCCCTGGGGAGTATACAACTCTTGCTGCATTATCAAAAAACATAAATAATGAGGTTCATGTAGCACATATTACATGTTACAGACCCCAGGCAGGCTTAGAATATGGCACTACAACTATGATTAGTGCCTCACGTATTGCTACGACCGAAACTATTGTAGAAAAATTAATTACCTCGATTCACATCAGTCTATATTGGAAGTGCTAGTCCTCATATGCAAGCAAAGGGCCTTCCAGAAGATAGGCACGCAAGTACTTCCATGCAGCGGTGTGTAAGCCTTCTAGACCCCAACGGGCGGTGGGGTAGCCTAGTGGTTAACGCGTTGGCTCGTCACGCCGAAGACCCGGGTTCGATTCCCCACATGGGCACAATGTGTTAAGCCCATATCTGGTGTCCCCCGCCGTGATATTGCTGGAATATTGCTAAAAGCGGCGTAAAACCATACTCAGTCAGTCTAGACCCCAACCGTGCCCCACTTTGTGACTGTACAGCGCTATTAGACAACGCGATATTGGACAAAGGTAGTCACGGGCTATACAGCGATCAGGTCCCCTAAATCACACCAATCACAGTAAAAGTCAATAAAGCCCGTCCTGTGTCATACCGATCACAGTGTTTACAGTTGTCCAGGCGCTTAACAGCTGTGCAGAAAATCCACACGTCTGGAAAGGGTTTTCAAGAGTGTTTACCTTCTCATCTCCCACTGAAGCCCGAACTACTTTATTAAGGCTTTGCGGGCAATTTACGAGGGACTATATGGAATTTGGACTTAGTTTTAGCGCAATACGTCAGTCTTTATCACAAACAAGTGTTTGCCACTAATATGACAATGTACCCAGCTGCTAAAGAATAATGAAATATTTATAACATATTTACTTCTTATTATTGTGTTTATCACATACAAGATGCCTTGAATGACTGGTTCTGCTTAATCACCCAATGTAGGCTGTCGACATAATTGAAGACATTGGGTGCAACGTGTTATTAGCTATCGCGTGTACATAAGTTTGAAAAGTGGTCAAAGTGTGTCCTGACCTTGAAAATAAGGTCAAGGTCACCACACTCGACTGGTGCCTGGTTAATTCCCCAATGTAGGTTGTCACAAAATGTGAAGACATTGGGTACAACAGTTCATGAGAAATCGCGTTAACAAGAATCGCGACGGACGGACGGACGGACGGATGCTGCTGAACACATAGTCCCCCGTTCCGTGTTGTGGTGGGGGACAGTTGACCCACCGAAAAACGTGTCAGTGTTGCATCAGAAAAGTGCAAAAGAAAACGAAAGTATATAGAGAATCTCACCCGAGCGTCTTTTCATATCAAATATATCAACACGAGTTGATAAAGTTACATACATCCGAGGCTTTTACTTTTATCAACGATATTTGATATCAGAAGACACGAGGGTGAGATTCTATTTAGCATAAAAAATCACTCAATGAAAAATCTATATCTCTGAACCCGGTTCTGCCATTAGACGTGCAGTGCAGCGATGT